TCCCGAGGGGGGGCCTGAAAGCCCCCACCCACTTGTCCCCAACCCGCGGTCCTCTGCTCTGGGCGGCCGGGGCCCCCCGGTGGCCGCCCTTCCCCTGCTGCGCCGGGCCCCCACAACAGCCTGCGGTCGCCACCGTCCCCTCCCCCGTGCTTCAGGATATTCTCCGCCATCTTGTCATGACCATCGTGGATTTTCTGGGCCGCGCGCATCAACAGGATCACGGCCGGCCAGGCGCGCTCCTTCATCTCCAGAAACGTCGGCGTGCTCACGTTCACGGCCTGTAGTGCGCCCTCCAACCAGTGCAGCCGTGCATCACGAGCCCGCAACTTCAATGTCGCCAGACTCGTCTCCACCCAGCCCCACTGTACCAGGTGTCCCGTTACCTGCCCTACAAAGCGCTCCTTCGAGGCCTGCTTGGCCTGCTGACCTATAAACTTTAGCACTCCGCGACGATGCGGCTCTATTGCACAACTAAAGCACGCGCGCAGCTCCGTGACCAGCCCTGGGCCCACATTGGCCAAAGCGTCTACAACCGCCTCTTCCGCCTGCTCCAGCATCGCCGATACCGCGGATTTCACCACCCGCAGCCCGCATGGGCCTTCCGTCATTGCCCCAGCCTGGGTCATGACGGTCGCCCACAGCTGGGTGTTGGGGACGCGGTCAGACTCCCCGAGATTCAGCGCCTTCCGAGCGGCCCTAAGTGCCTCCTTACGGTGGCGGTGAGCCTCCTGGACGTCCTTTTCTGTGACGACGCTGTAAACTGCGAGCTGCCCCTCCGGACCAGCAGCGGCCACCTGGGGCATTGTTCCTGCCCCCGCGTTGCTGGGCTGCTTTCCTCGAGGCCCCACGTTCGGCCCCTCGTCCAACTGCTGCTGCTCCCCCTCTCCCTCTTCCTGGAGTTCTTCGCGCAGCAGTTGCTTCCAGCCTTCCATGCCGTACCGCCTGATATACCGCGCCGCGATCCGCCTCTCTTCACGCTCCGGGTCTCCCTGGCCCTGTCTTGAGTCCCGTGGTACTTCTTCCCCGGCAAATTCAGTCCGCGCCTCCGACGGCGGCCTCACTCGTACCGGTCCGTGCAACGGTAGCCGCGTCACCGCCACGCGCTTTGGGGATGGGGCCACGACTCCAAGTCCTCGCGTACGGAGCCGCTTACCCTTGCTTCGCCTATTCGCCTTCGCCGATGAAGCCGCTTT